TATCACAGTGCATTTATTGAAACGATGTGTATACTGTATAGCAATAGCACAATACACTATATCTTATGAAAAAAAAAAACTCGAGAAGAAGTCTGCATAACCAACCAGCCAATGTTTAGACGTGCTCCCTTCAGTCAGCAAGCTTTCTAACTGCAGCGGTGTCAATTAACTTGAAGTACCTGAGAGAAATTGTAAAATGAAAACACAGAATAAGTTTTTAGTTTAAGACATTATTGTAAACACAAAGATCTGGCGATAAATGAGCCAAGAACACGTGTACAAAGTAAATGTTTGTATTGATGAAATTGTAGGGTTACAATCTGTTTACAACTTGATCCTCTGATTCGATCTCCGAAAGATGTAGATGTGTGATGTAGGGGTTGTTGATCTAAGGGTCATGATGACTTGATCTTGAATGAACGATTGCCTCAAGGATTTGGCTTGTGGCGAAGGAAGAACCGGCACATGTAGTTGTGCTTGTTGATTCTTCAAAGGTTTTGACGAAGAACACGAAGGATTTTGCGAGTCTTCTTGAGTGCTTGAGTGTTTAGGAGGTTTGAGTGCTTGAGAGCTTCGGAATTTCAAAGCTTTAGCGTTTAGGCATGAAATGAATTCTGAACCCCTTCCTTTGCCTTGGAGCCTTGTATTTATAGACTTCTTAAGCCTTGCCAATTAACATTTGATTTAATTAAATTAAAAAAATCAAATAATTCCTTTCCGTCAAGTGTTGACACGTGTCCTTCTTGATGACTCATCCGATTTTGTTGAGTCACATGCCATGTGTACAATTTATTCAAACGTGGCGCATGCCACGTATCCTCTGGCACGTCAAAACTTTAATGCGTTGGTGAATATTTATTTCACCGAAATTTCGATGTCTACAAATGCCCCCACTTCGAGGCGCGTCGTATACATGTGCTTGTCATGTGTAGAAGATGTGTTTTGAAGTCCCTCATTGTAGATGTCGATTCAACGGCCGTCGAGGCTTGATTTTGAATTAGGCTCGAGGTTTTTTCAAGGGCCGTCGAGCCTTGACCTTGAATGAAATTGGACCACGAGAAGCTTCACGTCGCGAGTGGTCTTTGGCTTTGTTGGGGTTGAATTGGCATGTGTAGTTGTGCTTGTTAATTCTCCACGAGCTTGGTGAAGAACGTGAGTGTTTTCTTTGGCCATAGAGCTTTCTTGTTTCCTTCAAAGGTTTGGATTTGCTTCATTTCTTTGGAGTCGAATTTGATCCAAGGGTGGTGTACACTCACTACTACAATATTAGCTTTAGGTGGCGGATGATGGTGGCGGATGTTAGAAAAATCTTGTTGGATAAAATATATCCGACACATCATTTAATTAGTGACGGATATTAGAAAAATCATGTCGGTTATATCTGACATAAATTCTTGACGGATATTTAATGGCGGATATCACATAAATACTATCGGTTATAACCGACAGTATTTTTAAATCCTTTTTTTTTTTAAATATTTTTGAAGTTTTTGGCGGTTTTTAAGTTAATTGTGATGGTTATAACCTTCAGAATTTGACTATTTTATTATTTTACTTGATGGCGGTTATTATTTTAGTATTCTAACAGTTATAACCGACATAAATGAAAATTTTATTATTTTAATATGTGATATTGGTTAAAAATAAATAAATACACACATATTTTAAATATATTTTTTTTCACTCATGACCCTAAAGTCTAATGAACCCAATTCCCACAAGTCATAAATTTTATGAGAGAATAATAACAACAGACTACAATCTGAAGCTCTATCATTTTTGTAATAAGGATTATGCTCCCTCACAGGCAAGCAACAAGATACAAAGAAATTCAAAAAAAAATTTCAATGCGTCACAAAGCACATTGTCTGGCACATAAACACACATGAACATCTAGTGTACTCTATCATGTCTGATTTTATTATTTTAAAATGTTATATTGATTAAAAATAAATAAATAAACACATGTTTTAATTATTATTTTTTTTCACTCATGGCTTTTTGCGATTTTTTACACATGATATCTCGGAGTATATACAAACATATATAATGGTTGGATCGTTAAAATTAGTTTCGTAGAATGCATATCCTATCAAATTGATAGATTTAACAAACACTTAAAAGTTAATGTTATACTTCCATTAAGTATAAAATAAGATTTATCCACTAGTGTAAATATTTTAAATTGAAGATCGAATTCATTCATTGCATTCTTATAGGATCGAGGAGTGTAGCTGTAAAAAATCATCAAAATCAGAACTAAAATAACCGTTAAATTGTGATTTTTCGTTTTTAACTGTCGAAAACTTTTGTTTTGTTCCTAATCTCTGAATGTTTGTTTTTTGTGATTTTTTAAGTATGTGATCTCGGAGTGCGTACAAACAAGTTTGACAGTTAGATCATTGAAAAAAGTTTCATAGAATGTGTATTGTGTCAAAACGGTAGATTAAATAAACACTTAAGAGTTAATGTTATACTTCCATTAAGTATAAAATCTTAGTGTAAATAGTTTAAATTGAAGATCAAATTTATTCATTGCATTCTTATAGTGTCGAGGAGTGTATTTGTAAAAAATCATTAAAATTAGAGCTAAAATAACCGTTAAATTGTGATTTTTCGTTTATAACCGTCAAAAACTTTTGTTCCGTTATGTAATATATGAATGTTTGTTTTTTACAATTTTTTACGTATGCAATCTCGAAGTGTGTAGAAATAAGTTTTACGGTTGGATCGTTGAAATTTTTTTTGTAGAATGCATATCAGGTCAAAAGGGTAGATTAAACAAACACGTTAATATTATACTTCCATCAAGTATAAAGTAAGATTTGTGGTATCCAGTAGTGTAAATATTTTTAATTGAAGATCAAATTTATTCATTGCATTCGTATAGGGTCAAGGAGTGTAGTTGTAAAAAATTATTAAAATCGGAACTAAAATAACCGTTAAATTGTGATTTTTCGTTTATAACCGTCGAAAACTTTTGTTCCATTACGTAATCTCTGAATGTTTGTTTTTTACAATTTTTACGTATGCAATCTCAAATTGTGTACAAATAAGTTTTACGGTTGGATCATTGAAAAAAGTTTCATAGAATGCATATAGCGTCAAAACGGTAGATTAAACAAACACTTAGAGTTAATACTATACTTCCATCAAGTATAAAGTAAGACTTGTGGTATCGACCAGCGTAAATATTTTAAATTGAAGATCGAATTCATTCAATACATTCTTATAGGGTTGAGGAGTGTAACTGTAAAAAAATCATCAAAATCGGAGCTAAAATAACCGTTAAATTATGATTTTTCGTTTATAACCGTCGAAAATTTTTGTATTATTACCTAATTTTTGAATGTTTGTTTTTTGTAATTTTTTATGTATGCGATTTCGGAGTGTGTACAAATAAGTTTGACGGTTAGATCATTGAAAAAAGTTTCGTAGAATGTGTATTGCGTCAAAACAGTAGATTAAATAAACACTTAAGAGTTAATGTTATACTTCCATTAAGTATAAAATAAGATTTTGTGGTATCCACTAGTATAAATATTTTAAATTGAAGATCAAATTTATTCATTGCATTCTTATAGGGTCGAGATGTGTAGCTGTAAAAAAATCATTAAAATTGGAGCTAAAATAACAGTTAAATTGTGATTTTTCGTTATAACTATCGAAAACTTTTGTTCTATTACGTAATCTCTGAATGTTTGTTTTTTACGATTTTTTACGTATGCGATCTTGTAGTATCTACAAACAAGTTTGATGGTTCGATCATTGAAACTAATTTTGTAGAATGCATATCTCCGTTAAATTTGCCTAAATTTTTAAGTGGGAAAAGTAATTTGTGCTAAATTTTTATTTATGTTTTTCAAGTATTGATTAGATAATATTTAGTTTGTGTGATGACATTTTCATTGTACAATTATCTTTTTGTTTTTTTATTGCATATTTTACATGAGTTATTATCTATTAAACCAAACAATTATTTATTTAATTTTTAAAAATGTATTCTATTTAAATACATATTATTTATTTATTTATTAAACCAAACAATTAGTATTTTATTTTTTAAAATCGTAGCAAAATTTTTTGGGGGGGGGTGTGGGAATTAAAATTTTGGGAGGGAATGTTGGCGGGATTTTTGCCGCCTTTTTTTTGCTGTCGGTTAAAACCGCCAGTAATGAAAATGTTTTTATCGATTTTAACCGACAGTAATGCAATTTTCCAGAATATAACCCCCTCCTTGCACTGGTGCCTTCTCCCCTTCCCCTTTTCTCCTCTCCTTATTTCCTTCTCCTTCTTCTCTCCTCATTTACTTCCAGTTCAACACTTGCAACCAAAGTTCAAAAGGTAACACTCTTGCTCTCGCTCTTTCTCTTTCTCCCCTCTCTCTCTCTCTCCCTCCCTCTATCTTTCTCTCTCTGTGTCTCTCATATGGGGAACTGTGCATACGAATTTAAACTTGCTAAAATTTGTTAGTAGTTAGATGCTGTTGGAAAACTTGAATAATTTTGTGTTGTTTGTTTCAGTGGCTTGGATGTTGTTGGTGGTGGTTCTACGAGCGGATGTGATCGCTCAAAACGGTTAGCACAACCTTATGGTGCTGATGCTGCTCGAGACACCTCAAATACAGCCAGTGAGGTCACGAAGTATAGGAGGAAGCCGAGGAAAATTGCTGCTCAAGGTATATGCGTGTGCTAGACATGAGTTCAAGCACATTTATTTAAGATAACTGTAAGAAGCAAACAATAATGGATGTTGTTTAAGATATATAGTCCATACAAATTTTTCAAGCACATTTATTTAAGAAGCAAACATGTTGTCATCAGAGAAGAAGGATTTGAAACAGGTTGAATATGGAAGGATTTGAAACATGTTGTCTAACCATGTTGTGTACAACAGCGAAAGATAGACCCTGAAGCCTTCGCCAACAGCAATAAACCGATGCGACACCCACCGATCACCAACACTTCAACAACACCACGACAACATTTGCAGCACTGTCGCCGTCAACAAAAGAAATATGCATACACATGAGTTAAAACAAACAAACAGGAGGGAACCTTTACAAAGGTTAGTCATGTGAAGCCTCAGTACTCGTCAGAACTCGAGAAAGAAGAGGTACTAGAGGTTGATTATTCGGAGTTTCAATACTTGGTAAAACTCCAGATGGCAAAGGCAATAAGCGCCTTTGGAATAAAGCCATAAACATATGATGATCATTTTGAATCCGACTTTTGGATTCCTGCAGTTGGTCAAGTTTTCTTTCCATGCTCGTTGAGTAATTATTTGCAAACATGTGCAACTCTCTATTTTCATGCTTAAGCCATCTAATCTCTTGTCTAAGACTTGCCACCTCAGCCATCAATGATTCAACTTAGCGAGTTCGAGAAAGTAGGTGTTGGCCCACATTGGATACAGAGCCCACACACTGAACACTAAAAGTCAGAGAGTCTTGAACAGCCAACTCATCAGACCGTTAGGAAAGTATCATGTTATCCTTGGGAGTGAGGAGATTCCTAGCTACCACTGTAGCAGTTATGTCATTCTTCATCACAGAGTCCCCAACTGTAAGAGGACCATTAGGGGATAAGAATGATGAGTGTCATATGTTGTCTTGAGAAGACATGTCTTCATCTTCCACAACATTCAAATCAAAACGACGGTTAGATAGGCAAGCCATTTTCAGAAATGATAAAAAAAAAAGGAGATCAGATAAATTGAAATCTCATAAATGCAAAAAAATAAAAAAAATAAAAAAGAAAAATTTCTACAGGCAACAACTTTCTGAGCGTGCTATTAACACAATTGATGCCTCTATAGAAAGAAGAGGCAACAAAACCACTTGTTCAAAAAATCGAAGAGGTGCCACTCTCCAAATTTGGAAAGCTAGATTTTTCCTGAACAAAGTTGGTCGAACTTTTTAGATGCAATCTCAGCTTTTCGAATATCATGGACAACTTTGTCAAAAATCTCTAACAAAGTTGAAACGCGTGAATTTTACTGTTCCAACACCATTATTGCTGACAAGAGTAAAGAAATAGCACCACTACTTGCTATTGGGAAATCCCTATATACGTCGACCTCCGTCCTCCATAACAAGGCAGACCTGCGAGAATACCTAACTTTTCTTCCTCTCCGAGAATATCTCTTCAACCAAGTCACTCAAAATGCTCAACTCATTTCCTCAGTAAGAAAATAGTTTTAATCGAGAAGTTTTGCATCAATATCAAAACCTTCTACTGTTTTCCTCAGTAAGAAAACAGTAGAAGGTTTTGATACTCATGCAAAACTCAACTATATAGCAAGCGAAACTCGTTCACAATTTGCATCTAATCTACTTGATGTTAACAAGGTAAAAGGAATGGAAAAGAAAGAAAGAAGGGGGAAATAAAAGAGTTTAGCGTGTACCTAATTTTTGAAAGGCGGGTTGTTGTGTGAAAATATGTATCACTGCAGAGAATGAAAAAACAATAGATGTGCATTTAGGTCAAAATACATACATCACTGCAGAAAAAGAAAGGCAATTTGAAGATATACCCACCTGTAAACGCCACAACGTACCAGAGAGTCAAGTGGCGGTCCAGAATTAAAGTGAGACCGATAAGAAAAATCTGAAACGAACAAAGATATTACCTCGAGTAGAAATCAAATAGGTGAATACAACAAATACATTGTTAAAATGATGATTAAGACTAATAAGTGGTGGAAATGGAGATTATTTTTTGTCTCACCTTTGCAGAAAAGAGTGAATCAGCAATAAATCCTTCTAATTCCAAATAAAACATTTAAAAAACAAAATAACAAATTGCCCAGAAACACAAATTGAAAATTAAACGTGGGTTTTGCTCCAATTGCAATGCTGAAGTTGAAAAATTCCAAACCTTGATTGCAGTCAAGAGGCCGAATGTCAAAGCCGCTCGAATTTCCTGAAAAAAATTACAATCATAAAGAAAACGGTAAATTTATGAATCAAAATGGAGATCGAAATGGAGAGAGAGAGAGAGAGAGAGAGAGAGAGAGGGAGGGATGGGAAATTACTCGGTGGAGGAGGTGATCGGTGATGTGGGCGGAGAGGACATGGGCGGCGGAGGTGCGGAGGACGAGGTAGGAGAAGAAAGTTAAGAAATGGAGCAGATAGTATGGCTCTGATACAATCGCGTTTAACAGCTTCATTGGTCTGCTTTGCTTCTTCTCCATTGCTTTGAATCTCTGTGATTTCGCGCTCGATCTGACTCCGGTTCAAGCTCTGAGAATTTCAGTGCTCCACCGCACCGCAATGCACAAAGCCGCTTCATCTCGCACTCTCCAAGTCCCCAGTGTTCCTCAATTGATTATTGGTCATGGGCCTATTTTGGACTGGAAGAACCCAGCCCAGGCAAAGGCCTCATAAAACCCAAGAAAGAAAATGTCGTGCGTACTAAAATCTAGACTGCTTCTGTCGGAAGCACTTTTGTTCTTAAGCACTTGAATCAGAAGAAGGGTTGAAGTTCAAAAGAACTTGGAAGGGTTTTTATGATTGCAAAAATCACTTTTAACCCTTAGGAAGATAAAAATCTAACAATTTATTTCTGGTTGTTTTGCCAAGTTAATTAAAAAAAAAAACACACCTAGCACTCAACTCCCTCCACAACCACACCACCCACCACCCCACACCCCCCCCCCCCCCCCAAAAACCCAAAAAGGGGCCATGGTTGTCAATTAAAGCTCAGGTGACCGTCTAATATGCAACATATCATTCTCCTAATAGAGGTAGAGTTTAATCTCATCTCTATTAGAAGAATGACATGTTTAACAACCAATTAAAATTGAGTAATCTTGAGTGTAATTGATTGTATACCATCAATAGTAAAGAAGGTTTTCACGATCAGATGATAAAAATAGTGGTAAATTACATAAACATATTTCAACTATAGGTCGAACCACAATCTCATACCTCATGTTTTAAACATTGCAATATCATACTTTAACTTATGAATTCGTTATAATGTCCTACCTCTGTTAAAATTTCTGTTAATTTGGCTGTTAAATGATGACGTGGCATGAATGAGGTCCATTCATTCGCTAACTAGAATAAAAAATTAATTAATTAATTAATTAAAAAAATAATTCTTTCCCACCTTTCTCCCTTCACCGTCCAAACCATCTTCCGTCTGATATCCCCACCCATCTTCCACATTCTCAGCAATTTCTAGGGTTTCTGATACCTTACTTACTAGATGAGTTTTTCTTTTTTGGGGCATTCATTTGCAAGTATTAAAAAGCTTAATTAAGCACTCGACTTAAAGACCATCCGAAGAAACCAAGGACTGCATCTGCATGCGCAGCTAGGATGGCCAAGTGGTAAATATGCACCCACCACAGTACCAAAATTTGAAAAAGAAAAGGACTTGGGCTTGCAACGCAAACCTGTGGGCCTTTGCTTAATCCATTGGACTAAGTAACTTTTGGTCAACGCAAACTCACAGTTGCCCATTGCCCAGAATCTCAAGAGGCCTTTGAAGACGGTTGCCAAGTGGCTTAGCCATGCAGCATTGCATGCAGCTTTTATTCCTTTCTCGTTACATTACAACATTATAGCTCCTTTCACGATGAGGAAAGTTACGATGGTAAGAGTATTTTTTGGGAATTTTAATAAAAAATTTCCAGTACTGTTCACTTTAATAAAAGATTATATTTTTACACTAAAAAGTCAATCATGGTACTATTGATTTTACCATTTATTTTGTCATTTTCGTTAAAACTCAAAATTTTCAAGCTCTTTTCATTAGTTTTCTTTATTTTTTATCAACTTACTGAATTACAGGTTAATTTTTTTTGGGTGTGATATCCACACACCCCTTTTTACTTCTCTCACACATTTTTAGTTTTCAGCCATTAGATCAGATGAATTGAAGAATATCAATGAACAGAAATTAACAAGGGATGTGTAAGAAGTAAAAATGGGTGTGTGGATATCAAACCCCTTTTTTTAGTCTAGCTTAAAGTAGTAATATAGTTTGTATAAAAAAAAGAAATATTGATCCAGCTCCATCACGATAGTCAAATTCTAACTACTTCTTGCTTTCCTTTTAGCCTTGCCGGCAGAAACCCTAATGAGTTATTCTTTCAACAATCACATGCATACTTAGGTGTAGAATAGTTTCTTTTCACAAAACTATCTTAGTACTTCTTCATCCTTCTCTCATTAATTATTGAAAAATTACTAGATCTGTCACCGGCTTTTGAACCATGTCTTCAATTAAGGTTAAAACAGATGATTACCGGACGTTGATGGGTGTAGAGTTTACATATATCAACGGTTGATGTGTGCTTGGACGACTGTGCTTAGCTCCCTATCGATGCCCTTAATACTTACTAATTAACTAGTAACTGCATCTTGACGCATATGATTAACGTCCTGCAAATCATAATTAGTCAAACAAATCAAACCTAACAACCTCCAAACCATTATCTCTCACTGCATGGCTGCAACAAGTGTAGAAAATGACGCACGCGACACTACCCACCTTTCACATGTTACCCCCACGCGGCACGTGCATGCACGTTATCGTAAACTACAAGACGATGAATCATGTGCATGATTTACATCTAAATTCTAACATACCGGTCCGAACACCTTACAAAAGGCAACGCGCTATGGATTGTCGACACGTGTCATTGACCACCGTCAGTTTCTCCTTACGACACGAGCGAAAGCATTCACATGGGCAACTGACACTACACCCTACTCTATCTCGTGCAAAATGGACCCCACAAACCCTCTTGATAAAAATATATATTAACTGTTATTTATTTATTTATTAAAAAATAGAACAATTGGTAGTAAATTATGATTATTCACTCATTTCGGGTCCAAATAGGTTATGGGCCGGAAATTCATCATATCCATAATCATAGTTAACCAGATTTATAGCTCTGAATATCAAATCCGGAACCTCTCACATTTCTTATGTTTATTGAGAAACCGCAACCGCACCTTTATCAAAAGATCACCTGCTGCGGTTTTTCAAAAGGATATTTAAATATTACCATAAATGAAATGGTGAAAAGACGAAAATATCTGTGAAAAAGAGGAACCCTCGATGCCAAGCAACGGCCCAGGTACCCTCTCTTTTTCAGGCTTTCCTTTTAATTCACGCAAAAAAGTGAGAAAACAAATAAAAATAATAGAAAAAAAAAGGGTGCATAAAATAAAATATCTTAACGGCAATAAATAAGAAGAGTAACGCCTTCTCCAATTTCTCTATAAAAAAATATCTTATCCAATTCTACCCGGACTTACATAGGGATTGGTGTCATCAGATTGGGACCCACCTCACTCCGAGCCTGCACTTTTGAGTGTCCGCCACGTGGTGACTCACCCGACATTCAACAGTTACGTTTACGATATCTTTTTGTTAGTCCGGAAGTTTTCACCACCGTCGGCTGAACTTATGCATGTTAATTGGGACGACGTGGCTTTTCGTTTTTTGTAGTAGACTGTAGGAGATGAGTGAGTTAATATTTGTTGGCGGCAATAAATATTCTATGGCTTTGGAATCAAATTGTTCCTAGCCCTGCTTACGAGAAATAAAATTTTCATACTATTTGATCGTGTACCTAATTGTAATTTACTTGCAGCTATGAATTTAATTAAGTTGTTTTTTTTTTTTAACAAAAGAGATTATTTACACTAATCTTCACAATGATCTAGTAATAATGTGGTTCAAATTCATCTTTGACCAAAATCGAACCTAAATTGGTTATAATAGTATATATAGTGGCGGATGTATTAAGGAACCACCAAAAAGCCCAGATAAATAGTGGCAAGGATCTCTGAGGACCACCTAAGTTTGAGTATGTGGCGGAGGAGAAAAGTGCAGTGGCGGACTGACAGCTACAAGTTTTGCACATGTTAACGAATGAGAAGAAGACTATTCTGTTGTTTAAAAGAATGGATCAAAACTCTTTTTCACTTGCTAATCCTTGTGCGGCTAAATAAGTAGCCATGCGACTAGATTTTTGGATTTAAAAGTCGTAGATTGAAATGACATTAATCATGTTTAATAAAAGAAAATGTTGATATGTCACATGTGTGCATCCAGTCGAGAAGTGTAATTGTTTATAACACGGAACATTACACTATTATTATACATGTATTATTTAAGTTGTTTTCTTAGCAGTTGTAAAGCAGATTCTCTACTCTAGTAGCTAGTAAAAAAAAAGTGTTTTACAAAATTAACAATAGACCCGTTCACAATCCTACGAGGCAAGGCGAGGTGAAAAGTGAAATCCGAAATGGCAGGGTAGTAGTAAGAGGGGAACACGTTCGGAAGATCCCAGCCGTTGATTAGCTCATGTCCAGCTGTAACCGTCGTGCTTACAAGTGAGGGCTTCCCCATAAAATAAAGCATTTTGCACAGGGATTAGTTCAAAAATAATTTAATTTAAAAAATAGTAATTTATAACAATGATCCCTCAACTTTAATTAAATTAAAGCAATGGTTCTTCAACTAAAAATCTATTACTATTGGTCCTCAACTCATCAAAATATGTAGTTATGGTCATTTTCATCAACATCGTCAGAATTTTGTCAAAACAAATTATGTTGGAAGGACCATTGTTATTGTTGGGATCCCTCAACTCATCAAAACGTGTAGCTACTGTTCTTTTCATCAACTTCATCAGAATTTTGTTAAAATGAGTTATGTTGGAATGATCATTGCTCCAATTGAGTTAAAGTTGAAGGATCATAGCTGTACGTTTTAATGAGTTGAGGAACTAATGGTAATAGATTTTTAGTTAAGGGACTATTACTCTAATTAAGTTAAAATTAAGCGGCCATTATTATAATTTATTCTTTAAAAAATAGGTGAAAATCAAAAACAAAAAAAATCAAATTATTAAAATAAAAATAAATAAAGAAATAAAGCACGTCTCCCTAAAAAATTAAAGCAGAGGAATCGGTCTGTGTAAACTTGGACGCTAATGCACAAGTCTCAGCGACAAACCTGCTAGATCGGTTCCTAAGGGGTTGAATTTTAACTCTTAATCACGTTTTAACTTATATTTTATCTTAAATTTCCCAGTTAAAAAATTCACGCGAACTTTACCATTTTACCCTCCATGCCAATAGTGCAACCAGGTGATCATCAACATCATTAGCCATGCACGTGCGTCCGATTTCATACCTTTGATAAAGAGGGGGTCCTCTCCTCTTAATGTAGATATTGGTAGGTTAATTTCCTATTGCGAAGGTTAATAATTTACCTAATTCTGTAACTTTCTCACATGCTATGAAATACTGGTTTAAAATGTTGTAAAAGTGTTCTAGGTCCAAG